AAAGATGCAAGACGCGAGAAAAGTATAGTCTTTCATTCAAGCATATCGATTTATTGGTCTCAGTAATTTTATTTTCTCAATCATCAAATATGCATGTCATTTTTGTCGAGCCAGAAAGTGAAGCGCTTAAATAATTATCTTCCTTGAAAAGGATCGTCCCTTCACTTCATTGTAGAACCACCGTAAGTTTCACGGCATTGTTTTCCGCTTGGAAGAGTTTAACGATTGCAGGAAGCAAAACCGAAGTTCCTGTAGGATTACAGACAGTCGTGATCTACACGATGATATATTTCTCAAATGAGCGAAACACTGGTTGGAAATTCAAGATTGGAAGTCTCGCGAAGAAATGATCGATGAATCGGCCGTGTAATAATTATATCACAGTTTTATCTGATTTATCAGCGCAATCCAAAGCGTCAATATACAATTTTCGTAAGAATTTATTAAATCTAATTTTCCTTTAAATATGTTGCATGTGGATGGCAATATTTTCCTAGTAAAGTGTAATTTGTAAAATAAATTCTCGATCTTGAAAAAGTCTGTCCCGAATCGAACGCGGCTGTTTTCGCGTGAGGAATGACAACTAGGTATAGGTTCCTATTCACGCTCGTGCGATAATGAGCGTCGCGTACGTGATGCACGTAAATGCACGTAGATACGTTTAGAATAATCAGGGAAGGCCCATTTCGCCGACGGGGCGACCATGGCGACCGGCACACCGGCTCGCTATTAATAGGAGGAAAAAATAGTAAAGACAAGACAAATGGGAAGAGAGAGAGAGAGAGGAGAAAATGTTTAACGGGAGGGTGGACATGAGCCAGGGGGCACGCAGGCCGCGTTTAATTCCGTACGTTTCTATTTTTGGTTGTCGCGCGCGTGTTATCCTTGTCACCGCGACCGGAGTTCGGGGTTCGAGGTGCTTCGCTCGTGGCTTCGGAGGGAAATCGCCCCTTCGCTCGGCGCGTCGAGTGCCTCGTCGAGGAGAAGTGCAGTAAAATAAACCTACCGCGAGCTATGCTTAGAAAACTTTAAGGAGACGCCCCCGCTATTTTTGTATTGTACTACTTTCCGATCAGTAAATGTGCTCAGAGATAAGTCGACTGTTTGAACAGTTGGTGTCTACAGTATTAATGTTAATGAATCACGTTGCAGTTCTGGGAAGTTATTTCTGAGGAGCACGGCATCGACCAGTCGGGCATTTATCACGGTGAAAGCGATCTGCAGCTCGAACGAATCTCCGTATACTACAATGAGGCGTCTGGTAAGGGCATGTTGTAAATATTACGGCTTACACGCTTCCCTTTCTTTGCTCATTAAATGTAAGTGAAATAGAATTGATTCGAAAATCAATTTCATATTTTTTGCGTGAAACTTATTGTGTACCACAATAGAAAAATATTCTTTCACATTTGTAACAATTTTTAGATAATTAATTAATTCTTTGTAAGTTAATAAATATGTAATAATACATAATAAAAATTAGATTACTTGATGCATCTGGAAATATCTACAATATAACTGAATTTTCATATATTCTTTAAGTGCAAAATCGCACAGAATCTTCCCGATGGAAACCACTTCGGCGGATTCTGTTCTCACGTCGAAAATAGCAATAACGAGAAATATAGAAAACCGCGTGTTGCGCACCGATGGAATGATGGAGAAGAAGAGCGTTGAGACACGTATTTTACGCTGAAAATAGCCGTCTTATGTGGTCGGACTTAAGATTGCAAGTTGCAACTGCAACACGATTTCAGGACTCCTCATGCATTCGTTCGCATCGCGAAAATGAGATCATTTCCGAGAACGCACGTGCAGCACGTGCTCCACGGTAGAAATAGTTTAATTAACAAACGAGTGAAATGTACGCACCATGCACTCGACAGTCGTCGTGAGTGATTTGTCGGAAACAAATTTCCAGCGCACGCGGTGGAGAACCATATTTTTAATTAATTCTTACATTTTTATTTCTCTTTTTTCACAATTTTAATTTACAATTTTAGAACATTTGTTAAACTTTTTAATTAAACATCCTGATAGTTGAAAGTTAATGTCTGAAATATCTTAATAATTAATAACTGCTATTAATTAAAATTATTTGTATCTACCATAATATTAAAATTATTTTACATTATCCTAATAAAGTTCAATAATGCAAATCCTTAGCTACTCATTTGTAAACAATACACGCGGTTTCATTCATGAGCGCATTTCCGTTGATTATAATATAATCACGGGTTTTCAGTATAGAATGACAATAACGATCGATCTAATATGGACTTCTTGATGTCTTGTATTACGATTATTCAGTACGTCTATCATTTCATTGACGTCACTTTATTACATATGGATACATTTAATAATAAAAGCATTAATTATTTTATTGCTTCCTCGATATCTGCTATATATAGCAGAATATTTTTTATACGAGTTCTTCTTTCGAACATTTTTAGACATCTCTAAAACGCATTTGCTAAAATACCTAAATGAGCAAAGTGTGTATTACCTGATTTTTATTTTGTTCTTCCCATTACAGTCGCGACATCCACGAACGGGGGAAAATATGTACCGCGCGCGATTCTGCTGGATTTGGAGCCGGGAACGATGGACGCCGTACGTTCCGGCGCTTACGGGAAGCTCTTCAGACCGGACAACTTCGTGTTCGGGCAATCCGGCGCGGGTAACAACTGGGCCAAGGGCCACTACACCGAGGGCGCCGAGTTGGTCGACTCGGTCCTCGACGTGGTGCGAAAGGAGTGCGAGAACTGCGACTGCCTTCAGGGTTTCCAGCTCACCCACTCGCTGGGCGGTGGTACCGGGTCCGGCATGGGCACCCTGCTGATCTCGAAGATTCGCGAGGAGTATCCCGACCGGATTATGAACACTTACTCGGTGATGCCGTCGCCTAAGGTGTCCGATACCGTCGTAGAGCCCTACAACGCAACCTTGTCGGTGCATCAATTGGTGGAGAACACCGACGAGACCTATTGTATCGATAACGAGGCCCTGTACGACATCTGCTTCCGCACTTTGAAGGTTTCCAACCCGAGTTACGGCGATCTCAATCACTTAGTCTCGCTCACCATGTCCGGCGTAACCACTTGTCTTAGGTGTGCATAAAAATCCATGGCAGTAACAAGTAAATTTGTAACAAAAAAAAATAAAATTCTTTTAATTACCTTCTAATTATACATAATGATAGATGGAAAAAAATAGCAATCTATAATGCAGATATTCCGTTTTCACTTAAAATAACAGATTAGTTAACAATCTTCGCTGGAAAAATAATATAAATTCGTTAATAATAAAATTTTTATATCTCGCAAATATGTGCTTCATGAATAACACACGTTGACTTCTTTAGGTTTCCCGGCCAGTTGAACGCCGATCTCCGGAAGCTCGCGGTGAACATGGTGCCCTTCCCCCGTCTCCACTTCTTCATGCCCGGCTTCGCGCCTCTAACATCCAGGTCCATGCAGCAATACTCGGCGCTCTCCGTACCAGAACTCACGCAGCAGATGTTCGACGCGAAGAACATGATGGCAGCCTGCGATCCGCGCCACGGCCGATATCTCACCGTGGCGGCCGTCTTCCGCGGCAGGATGTCGATGAAGGAGGTGGACGAGCAGATGCTCAGCGTGCAGAACAAGAACAGCTCGTACTTCGTCGAGTGGATACCGAACAACGTGAAGACCGCCGTGTGCGACATCCCGCCGAAGGGCCTGAAGATGTCGTCGACCTTCATCGGCAACACCACCGCCATACAGGAGCTGTTCAAGAGGATCTCCGAGCAGTTCACGGCGATGTTCAGGAGGAAGGCCTTCCTCCACTGGTACACCGGCGAGGGTATGGACGAGATGGAGTTCACCGAGGCCGAGTCCAACATGAACGACCTGGTGTCCGAGTACCAGCAGTACCAGGAAGCCACGGCGGAGGAGGACTTCGAGGCGGAGGAGTGCGCCGATGACTTCGAAACCTGCGAGCAGGAAAACTGAAAGCACCGCTATGTTCCCTTCTACTAGGTTTATCTTCAGCTTCTCTGTCTCTGTTTCATCGTCGTAGGAGCTCGCACGACCAATCGTGATGCTCGCAAGAAGCTCCGTTTTTTGATACTTTTATATTTACGATGCGCTTTGTAATCGCTGAGACAAGCGTAATGTCGGCGATCGACATTATTTTTTCACGAATTGTGTGATACCGAAATATTTATATGAAGATCAATATTCGAAAGCAAATGAAATTACAGCGAATGTTAAATTAATATGGAAAATAATTATTTAGAATGTAAAAATAGCTTCTTCTATTGATCTTGTATTATATCTATATGCCTATGTTATATTCAGCTTTATTAGAGATAATCATGAGGATTTTGATATGTCGTCTAGACGAATGTGGCGTGGACTGGAGTGTAATAAAAATTGTTGAAAAATCAAATTTTTATCGCATTTATAACCACGAAATAATTGAAACGTCAAAATGCAATGAAAGAAAATCTTTTTGAATTTTTTTTCCATAATTCTCTTCAATATTGTAGCACTGAACATTTGCTCCTAAATCCTGATATTTCCTATATTTTTAGATTTTTTTTTTTCTATGCTGTAGCGACATTTCATCTCTGAAGATCGTAGCGGCGGTGAGAAATTGTCGCGCAATAACACGCGTTCTCCTTTATTGTACGCAATAATAAAGTGTTTGCCCTCGGGGCACCGATGAGATAATGCGCGATCGCCGAGGCCTTGGCTTCATCAATGTCAGTTGGCTAGAAGGACGATAACGAGTTCGATAACGAGAATCGCGTCTAAATGCCAACGTTTACTCGTCTTATTTAAGAGACGTATTTATATCGAACTACGAGCACAATGTTGTTAACTGGATAGAGTTGATATTATCAACGTAACTATAAGAGCGTAACTCGTGTGAACTTCCTAAGCATGAAAAAATAACGACGTGCTTACAATCCATTGCAAATATTAAATTGAAAAATTATTCAAATCTCAGAATTTTGCCAATATCATCTTTTATAAAACTTCACTGAAGTAAACGTACAAATAGTTAAAACGTTCTCCTAAAAATGTATGTATACAAAACGACACATATAAAACGTTGTAAAACGTTCACAAAAGAGTAAAAACAGGTACAAAAGAATTATATAAAAAAGCCGTCAAAAAGTGTTGCAAACGCGCGCGATCCTCCACGTTCGATCCCCGTCTCTCTTCTACTTCTCCATTTCCTCTTCATCCATGTCCTCGTAATCGTCCGCCGTCGCCTCTTGATATTGCTGATACTCCGACACGAGGTCGTTCATGTTCGACTCCGCCTCGTTGAACTCCAATTCGTCCATACCCTCGCCGGTGTACCAGTGGAGGAAGGCCTTCCTCCTGAACATCGCCGTGAACTGCTCGGAGATCCTCTTGAACAGCTCCTGAATCGCCGTGGAGTTGCCGATGAAAGTAGCGGACATCTTGAGGCCGCGCGGCGGAATGTCGCACACCGCCGTCTTCACGTTGTTCGGTATCCACTCGACGAAGTACGAGCTGTTCTTGTTCTGGATGTTGAGCATCTGCTCGTCCACCTCCTTCATCGACATCCTGCCGCGGAAGATGGCAGCCACGGTGAGATAACGACCGTGCCGTGGGTCGCAGGCCGCCATCATGTTCTTCGCGTCGAACATTTGCTGCGTCAGTTCCGGCACCGTGAGAGCCCGGTACTGTTGGCTCCCTCGGGACGTGAGGGGCGCGAAACCCGGCATGAAGAAGTGGAGACGGGGAAACGGCACCATGTTCACCGCGAGTTTTCTCAAATCTGCGTTTAATTGCCCTGGAAACCTATATAATCATTTCAAACAAATAACATTTGATTTATTGTTATATTGTAATAGTTCGTTTCAATTTAATAACGATAATTTTATGTTGTGAACCTTAGACAGGTTGTCACGCCGGACATGGTAGCCGAAACCAGATGATTCAAATCACCGTACGTAGGAGTAGTCAATTTCAAAGTACGGAAGCAGATATCGTAGAGCGCTTCGTTGTCTATGCAATAGGCTTGATCGCTGTTCTCTACCAGTTGATGAACCGAGAGAGTAGCGTTATAGGGCTCCACGACTGTATCGGAAACCTTGGGAGACGGTACCACGGAGAAGGTGCTCATGATTCTGTCCGGGTACTCTTCTCGTATTTTCGTGATGAGCAGAGTGCCCATACCGGATCCGGTGCCACCGCCCAGGGAGTGCGTCAGCTGAAATCCCTGCAGGCAGTCGCAGTTCTCGGCCTCCTTCCTCACCACGTCGAGCACCGAGTCCACCAGCTCGGCGCCTTCGGTGTAGTGACCCTTGGCCCAGTTGTTGCCGGCCCCCGACTGGCCGAACACAAAGTTGTCCGGTCGGAATATCTGTCCGAAGGACCCCGAACGCACGGAGTCCATCGTGCCGGGTTCGAGGTCCACCAAAATCGCGCGCGGCACATATTTCGGTCCGGAGGCTTCGTTGTAATAAACGTTGATCCGTTCCAGCTGGAGATCCGAGTCTCCGTGATACGTGCCCGTAGGATCGATGCCGTGCTCGTCTGAAATCACCTCCCAAAACTACGAATGGTCAAGAATAATTTGATCAAGAATTAAGTTCTGCAAAAAGACATGTTGTCATACATCACGATTTGTCACGACAGAAAAGACAAAAATATGAATTATTAATCGAGAAAAATGATCATGATAAGAGTGAATTAAGTGCCACATATTTCCAATCGATTATTTAAAAAATTGTTTTAATTCAAATTTATTGAAGTTTTTTTTTAAGATATTTGTTTGAAGCATTTTATTTATTATATTTAAATGTGATAAATATTACAACGAATTAACTAATCGAGATTGACATCGTATATTTTTTTTAGGGATACTAACCTTGGCGCCAATTTGGTTGCCGCATTGGCCGGCTTGGATGTGAACAATTTCACGCATTTTGAATTAAGTATCGTGGAATTTTTAAGCAAAATAATGCACGGAATTCAATAATGATTATTTTAATGGCCGTGGGAGAAATCGATTCTTAAAATTGAAGGATGAGAAACGAGGAGATCGCGGACTTGCCTAAGATGTCATTTAAACAGAAACAGGCGACTGCTGAGTTCTCCTTGGTGACTGGTCCGACCGTCTGCATTATTCTCCACTTGTTATTTCGTCATGGTATTGCTTTCGATAATTGTGCGTGAAATATTGATCATGCAAGGTTTCTCAAACGATCATCACAAACCGTCTCAATAGTTATTAAGATATTTTATTTAAGCTAACTCTGAAATCACAACAAGACTTTCTTAATAAACGTAAGGACAGAATGTAAAATCGACGTCTAATCGAACAAATAAAAAAAAAAGTAATAGCGTTACACTCTAGAGTCCTCGTAGATTCCGGGGCATTAATCCTCGACTCACACGCGTATCAGTCACACGCAATGTACACGCACACACCGCGACGAGGTGGAAATCCTCTTCAACGGCACTCAGAAAGAAAAAGAGACGGGGAATCGAATCGTGCTGGTCGACAAACTCAGGCAGGTTTTACAAAGGAAGTACATTATAATAAATGGAAAAATAAATACAATGCGTGTCTATACTGGTAATTATGATACAACGTTGTAAAGATTTTAAAATTATAAGACTGTCTCTGTCATCCCGTCCCATCCCGTCTCATTGCGACTTCCGGCACACGGTCACTTCCACCACCGCGCTGGCCGTCTTCGGCCCGACGACCTTGACGTTCGTCAGTTCCTCCGTCTTCGGTGCGCTTAAGTTCTTCGCCTCTTCCTCCTTCGGGGGCAGCACGGCAGCTGGCTTCTCGCCCCCCGACGTAGTCGCGCCTTCCTGCGACGCGGCTTTCGAGGTAGACGAGCGACTACCCGGTCCGCCGTTCACTAAGTACCTCAACGGCACGGACTCGGTCTTGCTTGAACCTTTCCTGATATCAATATCAATACCAAGTTCGTAATATTATAATCATGACAAATGATCATTAATATTATTTCAATATTAAAAATAGAAGTTCTCCATTAATTAAAGGTGAAATTTAAAAATAAAATCTACCATAAAACATAAATTTGATTACATAAAAATTGTTTTCAAAAATTCTTTTTCTCAAAAATAAAATTCTACTTTGCATTTTGCAATGTGCCAAAGATTTCGTGAGTGAGATTACTAACTTTGGTATCGTCGGACAGGACCACAGTTTGAAATCAGCCCCGAAGAGCTCACCCTCCTCGACCGTCTGCGGCAGATGGATATTGAGCGTCTCCGGTAGGAATACGGAAGTGAGAGCGCCGGCGACGCTCAGCGATCCCATCACGATCAGGGGTAAGACTCTCGAGTAGACCGCCAAATGAACGATGTAGGGGAAGGTGAGGAGGCCGATGCCGGCGATGAAGGAGGCTATGCCCATCGCCTGAGACCTTAGTACGGTCGGCAGCAGCTCGCCGACGAAGACGTAGAAGACGGCGAAGGACGCGGCGATGCCAAATTTGCCGATCATCGCCAGACTCACGGTTACCCAGACCGCGTCTGCTGCGACAAAGGCCGATCATGCATATAGGACGTGTTCATAAGTGGAGTCTAAGTCGATTTTATATTTTTCCTTACTTAAATTTTCCCTACTTTTTTTTAAAATAAAAATTTCTGTGAACATCGTGGGTTTCTGATGAGAGAAGCATATGCGTGCAGTGCGACGGTAACTAATTTATAAGCAGGTCGAACGTTTATTCATAAACGTCGTGACGTCGGCAACAGTAATTGCCTCTCACACGTTGAACGTGTGTGACAATATCATGACGAATTCAATAAGGTAATGACGTTGAGGCCGCCATGACGCAAAGGCGTGCGATTCGGCTTAATACTTTTATTCAATTTTATCCCGCGGAGATAATCGAATAACGTGGAGATGAGCAACGAATGATGAATGGTCATCATTTTCTCTCGTCGGCGGTTAGGGATATCATATCCGGCGTCGCATATCCGCGTTACATGCAATATATGCGAAATGTGGCAAAATAAATAATTAAATTTAAATATCTGAAATAATTCTGAAGTTATTCGGATATGTAAAATTATTTCTGTTCGTTAGAGATGTCTCTTAGAATCAGACATAAATCGACGAAGTAGTACCTTCGGGCACGAACATGCAGGACACGCAAGCGAGCCCACCCAGCATCATGGTCACGCATAACACCCATCGCCTGCCCAATCTGTCCATTGCGTACCACGTAATAAAGTACGACGGAATCTCCACGATTCCTCCTACAAAAAATTAAAAAAAATCTGTCGCTGCAAAATTATGCAATGATCTTTTTATCTTAATCGTAAAAAAATGTATTATGTTAATGTATGAGATTATGATGCATTTATATCAACGAACAAGTTGATCGGAAAAGAGGGGAATTTTTTACCAATGAAGAAAGCCAGGTAATCGGAGACACCCAGATTGGTCGTGTTGTAGGACAGCCCGTTGTACACCACCGCGTTCGCCACCCAATCGAAAGCGAGGATGAAGAACTTCTTCCTAATGTTCGGATTTGTGATCAGGTCCATGGGTGTCGCGGATGGTGGCGGCGTCCTGTTCTCGCCCTCCACGTCGTTGGAATTCCTACCGTTACACGATATCCCTTGCCTCTTTAATATTTCTATCTGCAAAGTAACGTTATTATTCATATATTAGTTCATATTACTCTTAGATATATTGCAGAACAGCAGAATAATAACGAGGATAATATCTTATATCCGTATTTTTTTTATAAATTACTAAACCAAAGGAATTGGCGATTGAATATATTAAGTGAAGTTTACCTCCATCTTTCTGAGAAAATTTGGAGGCACTGTTTTGCCGTTGACTTTTGCCATCTGCTGGACGATCGCCTCCGCCTCGTCTATTCTATTCTTGCTGAGAAGCCACCGCGGTGACTCGGGGATGATCCAGTAGTAACTGAAGAGAAGAATGAAAGGCACCGATGTGGCTAACGACAGGGTATACCAGTGTCTTAACAAGTAACCCTAATAAAAGAAAAAGGAAGAGAACGAAACTATGTAATGGCAATTCATGTTAAAACAGTTATTGTGTTTTTAATCTCAAATTTCATGCGCGTCGGAACTTGAAATTTGAGAGATTGTTTGTCCTCTGCTCGTATCCGGGCGTGCGCGCGCATGGCTCCAAAGGCATCTAAATACAGAATGTTTCTATTGCATTAGCATGCATACGGCCGGCCATTCGCATTTGCATACGCACGCACCGTGCGATGCACGCTGATGGATCGCTCGCAAAATGATCCGTGTTGCACCCTCGCGTCGAATCTATTGCGAGATCCGCGAGCCGCCTCTCGCGGTAACTCGCGGGACAATGCGAGACTTCGTAATAATGCCAAGTTTCGAAGAATTCGCGACGTCGCGAGTTTCTTCGGAACTATCAGTGTCCCTTTTGTATTTTTTTAAAGGAGAACCACTTACCAGCAACGCCAGGAGAGACATCGCCGTGGCGAAGAACATGCAGATCACCATTCCGGCGAATGTTCGATATCTCGGCCCCATTAGCTCGAGAGCTGCAACGAAATTCACCGTGCAGAAGTATTTTGCATCTCGCACAAAAGAACATCTTGACGTTTGTATCTTATAAGCGTAATTTATGCAGTAACGATAGAAAAAATATTTTAATCCCTCGAATTCTTCTCATTGTTCATTTTTTTCTTTAAAGTTTCTTGTTTTGTATTATATTTTTATTGAAAATTAACTAGCCTACGATTTACGTATGCCGAACATACCAAGTATGAAAGGTATCTGATAAATGGCAGGAAAAAAGAGACCATTCACGGTCCTCAGCGCCGTGTAGATCACGTAGTTCGGACTGAAGCTCGTGGCGATAGAGAATATCACTTCGAGGAACAGGATGGCGAAGAAGGCCGTCCTTCTGCCCCATTTGTCGGCGATCCAGCCGAACACGACGTTGCCGAAGAGGCTGCCCACGTAGAAGAACGTCGTCGACGTGGAAGGCCACCAGCTGTTGTCACATACCAGGTCTAGCTATGTGGATGTAGAACGCCATTAAACTACTTCGCCAGCGCGAAAATTATATATCGACGGAAGTAATCCAATGATTAAAGTTATTAAATTAAAAAAACAGAAATAAAAAAAAAATTAAATTAAATATTCGAGATATCAACGCGTAAAGATGTATGGTTTCTGTTATCTCTTTAAAGGACATTAAAATTTTTTATACAATAAAATCGATTTTTTTATGTCTTATTAATTAATAATTAATAAATTATTTGAGAATAATTAGAAACGTGTGCGTGCTTTAATTAATTAATTTATTCTAAAATTCTTGCGTTTGCTTATTTTATCGAGAGATGCAGCTAGACGTATCAAATACAAGGACGTTAAGAGCGAAAGCTGGATTAAGATTACTACATATGTACATATTTAGAAACGATAAAAAAATTCTCATGTAACCAACGAGATTACAAATATCGACGTGCGTGGCGATTCATGAATGGGGTACCGAAGAAATAATTGATTCGAAGAAGTGATTGCATCCCGATCAAATCGCTACCGTTTAGTTTCACGTGGGAATACGTACATGTGTCCGTAACGCGACATATGCAATTGCCGCCGACGCGTCGCGATTCTGATGAATGATTTCGAGATCCTACAAGAACTTAACACGTTTGCATCATGGTATAAGAATATAAGATGCTGTAATCCCAGAAATGCGTGAGCTCTCGGTCGAATTAATAGAAATTCTTAAACTCACACTGCTCCAGATATGAGAATTCAATGTAAACTGTACAGCTGCTCATTTTTAAGAAGCTCTCAAATATACAAATGCGACTCGTTATGCAAAAATATTTAGCACACTTTATAGTTAGTACAGTATCACCAAGATGTTTTAAAGGATCTCGATTAAGCCTTTCCTCTGAAAAAAAAATCGATTACAAACGCATATACGTAGAATTTTCTTCCTTTGCAAAAATTTAAAATAAAATATAATCACGCTAGTATTATTGTAAATTTTGAATTTCAAAGTACTATTACTTGCAAATAGACATCCGGTATGGCTAGATAAGCTTTAAGCAATTGTTTGGCTCGGCTTAATATCGAGGCCAAGTATTTTACACGGTCCAATCAATGTTCGCCTAGAGAGGCGAGAGCATAGATTTATCGCAGGAATGCGCTCAGATTTAACGGTAAACGTCATGAAGCACCCTGTGCGTCCGCAGAACGCATACGTGCCGGAGCTGCGCGCCGACATTAGCGGCGAACCGGAGTGCGTGCTCGCACACGTGTGAACACACGCGTCACTCGGCCCGATCGTCATTTGTTCGTCGGGTCCAGAGCATCGGCGACACACGCACGCGGGAGCGCGCGCGACGACGAGTGGAATCGGAGTAGAGGGAAGCTGTGGGAGAGAAGGAGGGATGCCGCGCGCTGGACCACGGCTCAGCTCACCAGCGGCAGTGGCGCGGTGGAAGGGGACCGTTTCATCTCGTTGCGTTTACGCAGGAGGCTACCGACGTAAACGCGCTCGCTGTTTATCGCGAGTGAGAATGGGGGGGGGGGCAGGGGGAGAGGGAAAGGGAAGGGGGGGGAGAGGGCACGTGTGCGTGTGCGTGTGCGAGCTTTTTAGCATGGAAATCGCACAGGCTCGTACGCACGACCGGGACGCGCGTATGCGTGCGCGTATTCGAAGGACGCCAAGATGTGTTGGTGAGCTTCCCACAGTGAGAGATGTCCATCACCCTCGTTTGACAGGAGGAACACGATCCCCCTCCCCCCCCTCCCCCTCGCGCCCTTTAAAGCACCCGTCACTCTCTCTATCTCGCTCTCACTTATACGTACACTCTCTTCTCTCTTTCTCTCTCTCTCGTTCTTCTCCGGCACGATCTCGCGATGACGAACTCGGCGATCGTATGTTTGTTAATGCAAATATTATATTATATTATGACAATAAATGCGTACATTTTATGTAATTGAATAATACTCTTATTAAAAAATTATGCACATATATGTATACTACGAAAATTAATTTTCTCTCTATAAACAGTAACGGAATGCTTATGATTTTTCGTCTCCTTTGCAAAAGTGAGTCTCGTCGATTTTCCTATTCGCGCGACATCGCGAAATCGCGAAATTTGGGTAAATGTAAAAAAAAAAATCTTGCATTTTCTTTTAAAGGTCTTCGTCTAGCAGGTAACGAGAACGCGATTTCATCTATGCGATTAGGAGATGCATCGAGAGATGCATCCTTGAAGACGTTGGCTTCTCACACTTGGGACTGTATGAGTTTAAGAGGTTTCCATCGATTTCGAACACGTGCAATTAATGTCATTGCATGGTAAAAGCAACGGCAGGGAGTGCGATTCCGAGTTAATAAGCGTACACGAACAAACGAAATCTCTCGATCGAGTGCCTATTAGCCTCGACAAATAAAGTCTACCGGTGGGTGTTAATAGTTTTGACACGAAGTCCGATTTAAGCAAATTGCCACTCACGGACTTTCGAGGTCTGCGCGAAACGCGCAAAAGATAAATTGCGCGGAAAGACAGAGGAGAGCGCGCCCGCTGATGACGATGTTATCGAGTTATTGTCAAGGGTAGTGAACGCGCCCGCATAAGGACGCTAATGACACGCGTGCATTTTGTCACCCTGACACACTTCGAAATCAATATTGATATGACCGCAGAGTGCCGTTCATTACCGGGATTGTTTGCGCCGCCGCTCGTTTTGCACACGAAATTAAATTTCTGCGGCATCGCGTTAAATCACGATATGACAATATTTGCGGAACGATACATCGAAACAAGTTGAATAATGTATGTGACAAGAAGGAATGCAAAGAAGCGATATTAAAACTTTGCATTAGTTGTGCAACTTCTCGAGATTTAATGGTTAATTAGGTTCGCTATGTTGACTGAATAATTTGTGGCTTATATCCATTTTTTTTTAACCAACGTCGAAATTCGACACGACTCAAAAGTTTCTATTTTGCCATGCGATATTCATCTGGGACTGCACCAGTTTCATCTATGCGCTCATCGAGTACGCGTATTTACACGCGCTCCGGATTTACGCAGACACATGACGCAAAGAGCCATCGAGGCAAATCCTGTCCTTCCGTTTTCCGTTCTTAATCGCTATCACTTTCTACCGTATGCAGCCGTACGCTAACGCGCTTCAGTCACCCCTTTTATCGTTTATACATCGCTCGTTTCGTCAGAAAAAAAAATATCACGCTGCGCCTGCCATGGCATGAATTAAAACTGCCGATACATATTTATCATTATTACATTTTTCACCTATTACGAAGCGGCTAATCATCGAGCAAATTCATTGTGCAAAATATTTCTAATTGCAACCGCCATCGTTTAAGAGCTATACCCTACTAGTGATTTAAGATAGACGATTCGCGTACTCCAGAATTGTTGCGAAAGGAAAACTCGAAGTTTTCATTTAGTTTGGATATCAATCTAAAGTCAGCGATTTTCAAGCACTCTCACGTGTTCATACATATTCATGTATTCATTAAGCTACTCGTTGATCCGCGTGATATTCAGAATGACGGCATCCCAAGGAGTCTGCGATGGAACAAACAAGAAATAATCACTTCACGAAATATATTTATTCCATATATTCACGCAATGTTGTAATGGTAAGTCAACTAAAGCTGTTTTCTAAGATTTATAAGAGAATGCAATTTAGTTATAAAAATACAATAAGTAAGTAAGGCAGATGGATTAATTATAAAATCTAACGATTTTGTGTATTAGCAATAAAAATTATGAAATTATTGACAAAAATTATTACTGTTATTATTGTTAATTTCCATTATTTTCTCACTTGTATCTCAAAGATGACTGCGTCGAGCAATAATTTAATTGTAATTATACGAACGTTCAGTACATAAAGGGAAGTACAGATTATGCATTTTAAAGTACGAAATAGGGATATAAATTATTTTTGCGCGTGAGACAAATTGGATCCGGGCAGGAAGTAACGGATATTCGGTGTATTCGTCTTCGGCGAGGCTGCTTGTCACATGTCGACACGGAAAAGACAATGACCCGTTCCACGGTCTCGCGCGGCGTGGTATCATTAGAGCGAAGCTCCTAAATCGAGCACAATAAATCATCGGATCGGAAGCAAAGTGTATAAGCGCGACTGCCCACACTGGCCTTTGCCACTGTGGCCAGCGTCTCTCCCTCTCGTCGACGCCACACGTCCGCGAAAAAAAAAATACTTCTCTAGGTCAACCGAGAAATTATTCCAAAAGAATAATTTCCCCGTTTCATAACAGAACGACGTGTCACGTGTAATTAAACAAGCGTTACGCAATTAGAAAATTTCAATACAAATAATCATCTCTTTATAGAAATAGAACACGCAAGTATCGCAGCTTATCGATGTGTCGTGTTATCTCATCTATATTCGAAAATGAAAATTAGAGAAACGTTTCGGAGACGTTCACGTTCGACAAGCGATAGAAAAAAAGAAGTTCTTACAGAAATGTAAGAACGCAGAAATGAGCGACTCATTTCTGACGCGCGCGAGAGAAGGGAAAGAGGGACAGACGGAAGAAAAGGAGAAACGGAAGCTGGTCACGTTGAATCCGGCAGCGATCGAGTATGTGAGGAGCATATACCCTCTGCATGAAGAGAGCTTGGCAGTTTGTGCGAGGCGTTTGATGTGACATATCACATGACCGGATGCGGGGGTAGGTAAATTGGTCGGCAATTGCTGACGCTACCAGAGCTGCAACCTATCGGCCAGTCACTCGGTCGCTCATCAACCTTGTTCACCTGTTGACTGGATTCTCGCTGCCTGGACGATTCTCGCGTATCTCGCGCGCCCCTCGAACGAAATCTTAGAAATCGGCCCCGTCAACGCAAAACGCACGGCTATACGTCACCTCGCGCAATTTCGGGGAACGGGGCATGACGAATCGTTCATCGCGCGCCGCCGAGCGATGATGTTGATGGATCGGCCTATCATCGCAGTCGCTCTGCACGAGATTATACAGATTTTTAACGCTGCTCGCGCAGTGCGAAATTGATTCGTATATGGCAATTCGTTATGGCAATAATTTCGAAAAAAAACCCCAGAAGCTACAGGCGGTACATTCATTCCAGTAATAATTTAATTCGCTAACTCGATAATGGTGTAGCAAAACGTGACGCGAATACAGATCAGCGAGATTTATTTCCCACGTTTATCGCATTAAATTAAATCCCCGTGCAAAAGGGAGCTAAATTCGGAGCTGTGTTGTCGTATTTCACGTCGGTTAAATAAATTTCGCGGATGATTAATTGAAAGGACGGAAATGCAATGGTCCGTAATTCATGCCGGCCCGTGGAATCGCACTGAATAAAAACCTACCGGGCGTGCAAACATCGAGGAGGGCGGACGGAACGAGCAAATACACAATAAAACGCTAACGCGATACCGCGTGAAGCACCAGATATAGGCTTAGCGTCGCGCTTATCAGATATTTTGAGAAACGCGCGAGGAGTTTGTGGTAATTCTGATTTATCATCAGATGCAGCGCCATAAACGAATATACGCAGAGATTAACACTCATGACTATAGATATGGCAAAATAAATATCTCGCTCGATCCGCAATTTCGGCACTTGCTCTTTGAAAAATGTCGCTTCTCACGTTTTGACAACATGATTGTCGTGAAACTTCAATTCGTATACAATCTGCGAGATTGTTTTTTTATTTTATGATTTATCGCGTATATCAGTTAATCGTCCCGTATGATGCCCGCTGAGATTACAGTCGAATCGGTGCAGCAAAGTTCGGTGGAATCGAATAGAACTGAATAGAAGAATAAATGAAGTAGAAAGAAAAAACACACGCGCCTAGATCCTCGACCCCGTGCATCGCGATTCCCATTTACGCCAGCGGGCTCACCGCGTTGTCTAATTGTGGCAATTTAATAATGTCATAATGAACACTTATGACTGCTGCCACGTGATCGCGAGGTTTACCCGCCGGCCCAGTTGTTTTTTTCAGTATTCAAATACTGGTGGAAAATTGCTCCGCGACTTGTTTTGGAAATGCGATACGCGGTGTTGACGTGGACTTAATATGAAACTCGTGCAGCCTTTTCAAAATGTTTTGCAGTAGAACTAAAATATTAAATTGCAAGTATAGAATATCAACGGCAATATTCGAAATAAAAGATAAGCCACGTTTCGTTTATATTTAATACTTCTGTATATAAATCAATTTTGGATTCGGTAAAAGTTCCAGAAAAGTTTGTGTTTTATATTATCAAAGATTATTTCGTATCGCATCGGGAATTTAATCTCTATAATGGAAATGTTTATATGTATGAAAATTTCGTGCAAGCAAAGTAATGAATGCTCGCCATAAGCAGAAGAACATGACGAATCATCTAAATAGATAAACACTTGAAAATATTAATTTCAAGCCTTTGTGAGTTCGCGTTATTAATAAAATTGTTTCGCGTACTTAATCGTTTTTAATAACTTCAGTAATTAATATCATTATTTTCTTCTATTTTAATTATTTCCTACTAATTTCTTTAATTTCTTTTATCTTTAGTAAAAAGAATTAATTTTCTCTCTTTCTCTCTCTTTCAACTCGCTGCAAGGAAGTTTACTCCCTTCAACATTTTCCTTGAAAATGAACAACACGGCAATAACAATTTGAATACTTCACGACAGTGACAGAAATCGTACCGCGAGGTATGATAGTACACGGGAACTCTCAACATTTGATCATTTCGTTCCACGATATCGCGCTTAATCGGAACTAATAGCACGTAATCCGCGCTGCACAATTTAATCCGTTCGTGCCAATCATACTCGTCATCATCGTCGGCAAATATTTCACGGAAAACGAAACTCGTCCGCGTGCGAGAACATTACAAAGACACGTAACTTCATTCCGCGAACCACAGAAAACTCGCCGCGATGTGCATCGCTGGTGCACAAACGCCGGGAAACACTGCGGAGCCAAAGGCCAAGGCGACGTGGGTGAAATCCGATGCTATGCGAGGAAGAAATTTGCCGGCGACGATTAAGGCGTCATGAGAGTCTTAAGCAAATCGTCAAAATTTGTTTTGCACTACGACTAGCTTAGAAAACCAGATCTGCATTTATATTCGGATAATTGTTATCTTGTCTCTTCGATATTTCTGCGAGAACTTAATCCGTAAGTGATACCCAAGCTGTGTAGCCCGTGGACCCCACGTTGTTTTATTTAAATAAAAAATATAAAACAATAATTAAATCAAATAAAATTGATAAAGTATTTTTTATAATTCGTTGTATCTGTTAAATATCGCTCACTTTGCGTTAAAGTTATCTATTCGCGAATTTACGAAAACAAAGGTCTGATTCCGCTTCGAGAATAGATAACGAGAGACCTGTATTATTGATTTAATGGATTTAATTTGTTGGTACTGACTCATTTATTATGAAATTTAATTTAATTAGTTTATTAGATATATGTACCTACATAAATGATTGCGGATGGAATAATTTCAGTTTTACAAACATCCTATATTCTGTAACGTTCTAATGACATGTAATTGTTATGTTTCAGTCTTTTCATATTTTTCATTTCATATTTTTCACGACACTTAAAAGGACACGTATTATTAAGTGATTACTCGATCCATGAAATGGAAATGACACTATCTGCGATAATTAAAATTTTTTACGATTCATTATATTGCGCAACGACACAAAACAATGGAGACATCATCGTTAGTCGACTAAATACGCAGGACACCGGAAAACGGAAAGAATAGAACATACTTCTCAATTACCTTCAATTAAGATAATTCTTTTAAAAAATTTATAGTTACATGTACAATTTATACAAGTTGGATGCATCTCCAATATTAAAAATTACTATAATTATTATTTGTGTAGAATATATTTCTTGCCTTTTTTTAATTATTTAATTTACAAAATTATGGTTATACGTGCAATTTTAAGTTGCAACTTTAAGGCATTTTTGATATTAAAAATTATGATTATTGTTTGTCTATTGTCCTAAAATAATCACTCGTCTTTCAATGGAAATAATTAAAATGAGATTTCCTTTGTACATCAAAACCGGCCAAACACAATCCGCAAGAACTACAATTGCCCACACGCAATCAGTGCGAAACGTGAATGCATCAAGTGCCTCATTACGATGGAAACAGTCGTACTCGGCACGCTGGCGAACGGGCAACGCGGGTCTTATTCGGTTAAAGAGAGAAAGTCGAGTTTACCTCGGTCACGAGAGTGCTGTCGTAGTCCCGGGTGTCATAGTTCCATCCGTATCGGCAGTTGATGACCGGCCAGTCGGGGCTACTGACCGGTGGCGATCGGGTTGACGGTGAGTCAAACGACGGAGATGTGGTCAACGACGGGCTGTCGGTGGTGTTGGACAGATTGGTGCCTTCGAGCCACGAATTGATTATCTCCGTGTAATTCACGTCGTACATATGACACTTGGAGTAAATCCTCCTACCGTCGGACTTGACCGTGTAGGGCAACGAGAGCGCCTTCCTCTCCTCCAGCGACATCAGATCCGTCATGTTATCCAGTTCCGGTATCCTGCACCAGTGCTCTGGCGAGGCGCTCACGAACACCTATCTCGAAATCGCGAGTCTTAATTAAGATTAATTATTCGGACCTGCATGCCATTTTTGCATCTGCCTTTCACCGCTTGTAATATTGCTAATTTAATAATTCGATTTTCATTACTATTAGATTCTCTTGCGAGCCACGCAAAAATTAATATGTTTAATACTTTCAATGTTTCGTGAATTTAAATGTCGAATATGCACATTTTTAAGTTTCTATTTGTTTGCTTTTGCATACTTTATTATGCTTAAATCATCGCAAAATTTTTCCGTTCTCAAACGTAATAACTTATTAATTTTTATTTATCTGCGAAAAAACTTCATATATAATTAAATGTTGCATATTAAAGTTAATATAAATTCCAATTTATAAAAACATCCACATTTAATTTATTCATATAGTTTATACAATAAATTTGCAATTCACGGTTTCTTACAATTCTTTTGAAAGATGAAAGTATTGAAATTGATTTACATAAATTAAGAAAAAAAAAACCATTTTGCATCATTAACTTTTTTTTGCGATTTACAGCCTTTGATGCCTAAGGCACAACAATTTCCATCTCGATAACCATCCCCAAATCTAAGGGTTATCACATCGCCGAAGCGACATCAGACAACGTGCTTACTTGCGAGAACGCCAAGAAGGCGGCCGGCAGGGTGGCGGGTATGCACAGCAAGTAGTACATGATGTTCTGGTATCGGCCCTTCTCTCCCACGTGTACCAGCACCTCGTCGAAGTCGATCGAGCTCATCTTTTCGGCGATGCCGTGAGTCTGTCGTGTCTCAACAGTTTGACCACGACGGTGCGGACGGTGACGATGACGACGACGACGACGACGACGACGACGACGACGATCGTGCACGATGCGACGGTGGCGTGGTACACCTTCGAATTACACGGCATGACCGCCGTCGCTCATCCTCGAAGGCAAGCCACGCCGAATTACAAACGCACGTTTCTCGCCCCCTTCGTCCGAGACCGCGCACCGGGGAAGCTTCCTCCTCCTTGGCGCAGCCTACCCTCCTTCGTCTCCAGCACCCCCGCCTCCTTCTCCTCCTCCCCCTCCTCCTTCTCCTCCTTTTTCTCCTCGTCCTCTTCGTCTGCCCCCTCGTCCTCCTGCTCCTGTCCCACTGCCTCCCTCCGACGTACCCCCGAAGCGGGCTGTTTCGAAAGCCTGCACGAACTTTCCACGATTCGGGCGCGTGCTACAACGCGCGTCTCGCCACCGGTTGCACTGGGCCCAAGGTCGCGCACGGTACCACCAAGATCACTACTGTTAAGCCTAACGAGTCGCGGTCAATCGGGTCCGAGATGCCGATCCGCATCTGGCTGCAATGATGAGCGCGTTGCACTTCATGTCTCATGTCGCACGAATCTTGTTAGGTCCGATCAACACCGACGAGAAGCTCCCCCGGCGAGGGCTCGCCGAAAGCGACAAGTCGAGCGTGATGGGGTAGTTGGTCCTCAATCGCGAGGACTGGAGGACGAAAGGAAGGAAATTGACAGGAGGGGGAGCGATAGAGAGTCGGCTCTCGCTCGATCGCCGGAGTGGTCTGATCCAAGTCGATCCTTTTCCACTTGCGGCGCGCCCCTCGCTCGCGCTTCTCTCATCCGCTCTGTGTCTCGAGAGGATCGGAGTTGATCTCTCTGCTTTTCAACAACCCTTCCGCGCGAAAATCGCTCTGCAACTGTTCACCACGTCTTCTCGCGGGTATAATAAGGGGGATTATCACCTCGAGCAGTCTCAAGTGTCATCGAAAGCGCACTCGCGGTTTAAGTCCTGTAATCGATCACGCTTCTTTCGCCGGAGAGCCTGGAGATCCGATTCACCCGGTCGTCGCGGCGCTCGCGCGTTGCGGTGCTCATTCACTCCTGTAGACTGTTTACGGAAGTGTCCGATTGACTCGCCCGTTTCTCTCTATCTCTCCCTCTTCTTTCTTCTCTCTCTCTCTCTTTTTGTTAACGTGCATGCGGTTTATTAAACGAACGCGCGTTCTCCTGCACTCGGCCGCAGAGCTCGCCGCAATTGAGCACTCCTCGACACCGCGCGTTCGCGACTCACTCGCGACAACGCAGCAGCGGCTCCTCGTTTCGCGGCTCGAGGGACCGTCCCTTCATTCTCGTTCACGCACCGCGTCCGCCCACCACGTCACGATCGCGAGATCACGAGAGCGCGTAGAGAGAACCCGCGTGGCGATCCGGCCACGGTGGCGGGCAGCGGCGTTTAACGTCGTCGTCCTCGCGATAGAAGCGGCTCATACGCCGCGGACATCGCGGCGATCAGCCATTGCCGGAGAAGACCTCCTCTCTTCTGACCCTACCGAACATCATCTTCGTCGGAGTCTCTCCACCTCCTCTCTTCTGTCTCTCGGCCCGCCGATCAAGAGCCCGCCGCTGTCGTCGCCCGCAGTCTCCGAATGCTCGTCCGCCTCGCCGCTTCTCCGTCCTTCTTCTCTCTCCCCCTTTCTGCAAACGAAATTCCCTTCGTAGCGAACGCTATTGTCTATATCGTAAGTACTCCGTCGCTCGTTAGCTTCCGCGTGCGACGTGCGCGCGATCACGAGCGACCTCGGGCATAGCGCCGGCGGATTTGACATAAGTATCGCGTCTCCCCCAGTTAACGTATTGTATTCTACAAAATAGTAATGCCTGAACCAATAAATTTCATAAATGTCAAATGGCAGCGGGATTACCTCTTGGAGAACATAGAATTCCCCCTATCTAATTTCCTTTCTAGAGAAAATGATGAAATCTCAATTTGATTGATAATATAAATACATTGATTTCACGATTCGGCTTTTCTCTGCCGACTCGGTTATAACGATATGATTTTTGTTATTTATGTATAATTATGTACAATATGCCGGAATTTTGTAGAACTCATTACCCATGATATTCATGCATTTACTAATCACGCTTCCTATTCCCAATTCTACACTCATTTTCTTCGTTCCTATCAATCATTCTTATTTTTGTTCTTCTTCGAGCGTTTTAAATCTGCATAGTGCGACTTTACATTCATAATCATTAAAGCGCATTTTAAATCCGCATAAAGACTTCCTTGAAGTTTTAATCTTCCATTCATTGCACATGTGCATTCCTTTATTTCCCACGTATTAATATATGCAAGATAAATTCATTTTGATTAATTTTTAATTTGATTTCATAATACCAAAATATCTGAAAATATAAGTATTTAGTAGACGTATTATGCAAAGATAAATAAATAATAAAAAAATATTTAAATATACAAACGTGTGATGTCAATTGTGATTGTCTAAATCTCAGTCTTCCGATTTAGTCTTCGATCAAATAAATAGCGTCTAAAAATTTCGCACGCTTTTGTTGTTCTATTATTCGACTGAGCTACGTAAATCTGCAAATAGCGAAAATCCGGAATTGTTGTCGCGGTCACGTACATTGATAAAATATGCAAATTTTAACGAAGGCGGGCACGTGCCGGAAAAACGGCGAAAAAAGGACAATTGATCGCGAACGCGAATGGTGTAGTCAGGGAACGGATTCACGCCTTCTAACAAAGGTAGGAATGTGTATCTCTTATTATATTCGTAGCTTGTTGCGCTATTTTCAGCACTGGAGCATGCGAATACAAATCTCGCTGGCTCGGCGCGAAAAGAGCCGTGCGTTTTCGCAACCTTATTAGTCTCTCCAAATCCCTCGTCAAGAAAGGGCGCGTATTTCGCACTTTTTCGCAAAGTGCACCACCCTTCGAAGAGATATAAGAGATGGATACAAATCAACGTTCAAAGTTAAAACTGATTCATTGAAATGAGATTGAAAACAGCGATATGGAATGTCGGATAGCATCTATAAAGATATGCGCCTATTAGCCGTTTCCATAACCATTAATTAAAATTAATTGGGATTTGATTGAATCTTTCAGTTTAGCTAACTCGAATTAAAATGCTCGCGGGAAACGGTTTAGCATGAATTACTCTAATACGCGCATGCAGATACTTATATTCCTCTGGAAGGTGAAATGTCAAACGCGTACTGAGCACACGCGACGATAACCAGAATAAGGAAACGCTTATTGCAACCAGTTTCCGTCCGTCTCTGCAAAAAACCGCGTTCCTATTCAGCAGCGACGAGAATAATAACATGCAATGTTTCACAAATTTACGTCACCTGATGCAGACTGCGATATATGTAGGAGGAGTATAAACACATTTTGTTTCTCCAGTACGTTTGTAAATTACGATCATCCGGCATGATTGCGGGCAAATTATATCGTTGTGTATAATTTCCTATTTTACATAGACGCAAAAATTTTCATAGACGCGCGACGATTGTTTATGTATCGTTTGTATATTTAAAATGCCCAGCTGTAAACCGCCATTGAAGTAAAATAGCTGTCAATATATGTCACAATTTAGTTACCTGTGTTTTGCGCACCTTATAAATAAATTATCGCAACAACTTTTTCGCACACTATTATTGTACTTTTCCACACTTTTTATAAAATGCGTAATATCTGCTTATATAATGCAAGATATAAAATATATTCACCGCAAATGCCGTAATTCTCGATATTCACAAAATAATATAATTCTACAATATGTTACATAATTTTCCGCATAAAGGCCCGACTATTTTTACGCTTACTTTTGTCTGAGAATTCTTTGACTTACAATTAGAGACAGTGGACATTTTAAGGCAGCAAAATGAATGAAATGATCGCACACATGCAAGTTGTGGCTAGATAAGACCGTTAAAATGGCATGCCCACGTGCTTGACGATAGATTAATATCGTCACGAAATCGTCGATAATCGAGCTTGCAGTGTGTTATGTCTGTCTTCTTCTTCTCAAAGAAGTCTTCTTGTCAAATGATGATAAGAACTCGCGCAGACTTAGAATGTTGTAAAGATTTTATTTGCCATCTTATGGAAATGTTTCAGAGTTTTATTAAGACGTGGCATGATCATGTGTAAGCAATATGAGGAAGTTTCGTTGGCATGAAATGTTGATATTTGCCAGCTTGTCTGGAAAAATCAACAATTTTGTAATCAAACTGACAATGCGCTTTTTTTTTAATGATGCCTCCGTATTTGTACAAGACTCTGACACTGCTTTAATAATGATACACGGTAAAAATGGATATCAACTTATATTTGATTGCCATTGTCATAATATTTGTGATATCGCGACAATGTTCTAACTTTACGTGAGCGATGTTAATCTTCGGAATCATAAGTGAACCTGCCGTGCTCGCTTCGTCAATAAATTAAATAAGCGAAATCTCTTAGATTCAAATTAAGTTCGACGAAACAATTAAGTGAAATTAATTTATGGTTATAAATTAATCATTAAATATTTATTAAAATAATTCACTTATTTCGGACTTAATGCTTCATTAACGACTCAATAATGATATACAATTAATGTCTTCTTGTCTCTTGTCAAATTTTCCACTTTGATCTTTATCACAATATAATTTTAACTGACAAAACAGTTTGCTGTCAATACAATAATTAATTATAATAATTTGATAATTTAATCGAACGACTTTTGAAAATATTTTTCACGAAATAAAACGCTCGTTTTAAAAAGTGAGAAAATAAACGAAAATAATAAAGTCAATAATTCTGATAACACACTTCCATGAGCCATCTAAATCCTAATTGGCGACCGGTTCTTTCAACCTGCAATTGTGCGATGCTTACCAGAATCGCAAAACCTTTTTTTTTTCTATTTAGAAAAAGCCAGTCAGCCTACCATTGACGTCAGGTAACCCTAGACCCCGGGGCACATGCGGCTCGCGAGCGCA